CTGGTAGGTGTTGTCGAAGGAGTCATACATAAACCTAGTGATAAGCGAGGTTTTGCCCACTGTAACAAGAGAAAGCATGTGATTAGTATACTGGTGACATGTAATATTACATAAAAGATTCTCTTGTACAAATTTGGACAAGATACCGTAAATATATACAATACAGTTATCTATACTATTTAGGGCTGTATTACACAAGTAGTACAGCCCTATAATTCACATGTTATGTATTGTACTGTAATAAATACAAAAAAATAAAAAATAAAAATAATAATGTACAAAAAATATATATTTTTAAAAATTAACACAGACTGCCATTCAAGAAAATGAAACACTGATCATATGCAATAAGAGGTAAAGAATTTCTAATAACACCAGCTCGTGCTCGCCATCTCAATATCCATCACCATTTCCAGATCAGGGCAATTGTCCAGAGGAAAATTCAATCAACTCCCATATCACAGCAAGACCCATTCAGCTCTCCCATCAGCGACACACTGAGGCACACAAAAGAGGGGACAATATTGACTCTGAAATAATACCGATCATCTCTGTGCTGAAAATCACTGTATATAAAACAGTGGTGGACTCTGAAGCCTGGAAAGTATTCTGAGACAAGCATGTTGCAGGAACGCTGGCAGAAATTCCGTTTCACAATTGAAATAATTAATTTTCTAAATCTTTTATACCAAGTCCAATTTCTTCTCTGATCAACAAATATACTGATTTCTTCCTACTTTTATGGAAGCAATTCTTAGAGAACTATTAAATGCAGGGTACATTTAACCAGGTAGCTCCACTTCCATTTGTCCAACTGAACCCAAAAATGATACTGACTTTTCCCAGGAGTATTCTGACAGCTGTTAATGGTTAGGAACTCATAACTTATTATAAAAAAAATGGGAAATTCGGTTTTACTTCCGGTATGTAAAACAACATTGAGTAAATTATGCAAATAATTATGTATATAGCTATATCTGATATCTCATGGCCCACTCTCATTGGCTAAACATGGTGACATCATTAACTTTTTGACCTCAACTATTTGTGCATTATTTTATGGGGTGTTATTTCAGTGCATTTCCTTTGAAAATAATTCAGTAATAACAAAAGGAGGGGAAAAATAATACATAATAATAATAAAAATTGAATAAAAGGGGGGGGGGGGAGATGGGAAATATTTGCAATGAATTAAGGGGATGAAGCAGATCTACCAGTGTAAAGATACCTTGGTTAAATGTAAATAAAGCTCCTGATACATTAAGATATGGATGATTTTTTATCATATAGTCTAACTGTTAAACCTGACTGACAACACAGTAATCACCGATGATGAAAAACATGTTTGAAGTTGAAAAACTGCACCTTGCATTTTTATCCAACATCAAACAAGGATATGTGTACTATGATGTGCATAGTGCATAATGTGTGTGTGTGTGTGTGTGTGTGTGTGTGTGTGTGTGCGTGTGTGAGCGAGTGCGTGTGTGAGCGAGTGTGCGTGTGTGCGTGTGTGTGCAGCATGTGCATGTGCATGTGTGTGTGAGCATGTGTGTGTGCATGTGTGTGTGTCATGTGTGTGTATGTGTGTGTGTGTGTGGCATGTGTGTGTGTGTGTGCATGTATGTATGTGTGCGTGTGTGTGTGCATGTATGTGTGTGTACGTAAGTGTGTGCATGTGTGTTTGTATGTGTGTACATGTGTGTTTGTATGTGTGTACATGTGTGTTTGTATGTGTGTACATGTGTGTTTGTATGTGTGTACATGTGTGTTTGTATGTGTGTACATGTGTGTTTGTATGTGTGTACATGTGTGTTTGTATGTGTGTACATGTGTGTTTGTATGTGTTGTACATGTGTGTTTGTATGTGTACACATATGTTTGTATGTGTGTACATATGTGTTTGTATGTGTGTACATGTGTGTTTGTATGTGTGTACATATGTGTTTGTATGTGTGTACATATGTGTTTGTATGTGTGTACATATGTATTTGTATGTGTGTACATATGTGTACATGTGTGTATATGCATGTGTGTACATATGTGTGTATGCATGTGTCTATGTATGCACATGTGTGAGTGTGAGTGTGAGTGAGTGAGTGAGTGAGTGAGTGAGTGAGTGAGTGAGTGAGTGAGTGAGTGAGTGAGTGAGTGAGTGAGTGAGTCAGCAAGCAAGCGAGTGAATGAGTGAGTAACCGAACGAGTCCAGTTCAGTTCACGAGCATGTATGCGTCAGAGCCAAACAGCAAAAGAACCAACACCACGATCTTCACCAACCTTACCACTTCTTCCTACAGCCACACAAAAGGAGGATTTATCACAATAGCTAATACAGTATGCATGAAGACCTTGAATACATTACCTTATATTAGCTTACAGAAGGAAAAGGCATGCACATTAATAGTGCTTTCTGTGCTACCTGATGAGGAAGGGGACGAGAGAAAGAAACAAGGAAGGAGGAAACAGAGGATGTATGCAGTGGAAAATCGGGAGAAAAGTAAGGAGGGGAAAGAGAGGGAAATGGAGGAGGGTGAAGGGGAGAGAAAAAAAGAAAGGAGGAAGGGAAGAGGAGAGGAGGAGAGGAAAGAGGAAAAGGAGGAGGGAAGGGGAAGGGGAGGAAGAGGAAGGAAGAGGAAGGAGAAGGAGGAGGAGGAGGGAAGGGGAAGGGGAAGGGGAGGAAGGGGAAGGGAAGGAAGGAGGAGGAGAAAAGGGGACGAGGAAAGGAAGGAGGTGGAGGGAAGGGAAGGGGAGAGGAGGAGGAGGAGGGAAGGGAAGAGGAGGGAGGGGAGGAGGAGGAGGAGGAGGAGGAGGAGGAGGAGGAGGAGGAGGAAGGAAGGAGGAGGAAGGAGGAGGAGGAGGAAGAGGAAGGAGAGGAACGAGGGGAAAGAGGAAAGAGGAACGAAGGGAGAGGAAGAGGAAGGAGGAGGGAGAGGAGAGGAGGAGGAGTGAGGGAAGGGGACGAGGAAAAGGAAGGAGGAGGAGGGAGGGACGAGGGAAAAGGAAGGAGGAGGAGGAAGGAGGGAGGAGAGGAGGGGAGGGGAAGAGAGGAAGGAGGAGGGAAGGGGAGGGAAGAGAAGGGAGGAGGGAAGGGAAGGGAAGAGGAGAGGAGGAGAGAAAGGTAGAAGAAGAGGAGGATAAAAAGGGAGGAAGAGAAAAAGGTGGTGTTGGTACTGAGGAGCAAAATAAAACCCTTAAACATGGCCATGTTTTGCAACAGCATTTAGAACAGAAAGGCAAACAAATTTAAACCTAATATAAATTCCACTTTGTCTATGCACATAAAAAATGGAATTTATTGAGATTGAGATTAACTTTGTGTAAAAATAACTGGAAAATTGATCTACAATTCAATATTAATTTCCTATATTTATTCCAGTCAGTGTTCTAATACTGTGAAGAGTTTATATTACCTTTTAAAATAATTAACAAAATTTTTAATTATATAATAGAAAAAAAAATTAAATGCAATCATGACAAAAGCAGAAACTGTACAATGAAAACATCTGTAAAAGCTTGTAAAACATTTTTCTAGTCTAATTCAATTGCTTAAATTATATTAAGAAAAAAATCTAATATGCATTAATATAAACCTTGAAGTTGAGGCATTCTCTTTGAATTTAGAAATAATCTCTTCATCATTCAGGATAGACTGCTTATAATCATCCTTAAATATTTGTGTGTGTGTGTGTGTGTGTGTGTGTGTGTGTGTGTGTGTGTGTGTGTGTGTGTGTGTGTGTGTGTGTGTGTGTGTGTGTGTGTGTGTGTGTGTGTGTGTGTGTGTGTGTGTGTGTGTGGTGTGTGTGTGTGTGTGTGTGTGTGTGCGTGTGTGTGTGCTGTCTGTGTGTGTGTGTGTGTGGTGTGTGTCTGCACTAACTGTAGCCCTATCCTGAAATTTAGTAAATATATCATCTGTATGCCTTTCCTTAATAAATTCCACCTATTAAATATGTAAATTTAACTAAAGAGATCCAAATGTATGCAAAGTCATTTGTAATTTTTTCACAAAATCTCATGCACACATTTCAGACTAATACCAAATGCTCTAAGGGACAAGACAAAAATCCATTATGAATGTAACACTAGGATAACCCAGTTTTGGTTTGCATTAAGATTAATCATGCCACAATTACAGATTTTCCAACCAACATTTTAATTACAGGTAAGCATTTTGAAAATTTGCCCTTCGTAAGCACTTTTAGCATCCTAAAAAGTTTGGGATAAAGAAAATCTACACTGAGAAATACAATAAATACAGTAGTATTTCAGGATTTTATGCAAATTATATTCATGATTAACCAGCACAATTATCCTTGAAAGAAAGGACCAACAAGTGATGAACAACTCAACTAAAACATATAATGAAATCAAAATAAAACATTATTTATGAGTTTCTTCAAAAGCTAACACTGATTAAGGCATCAAATCATACAAGTCCTTGCTGGAAGTAAAACATTATAGTTAAATGGCTTGTCATTTTCTTGCTACAAAACAATGGAAAACCATTACACCAGAACTCAAAAGTAACCAAAGATTTTTTTTTTTTTTTTCTCTCTTTTTTTTTTTTTTTGCATTAACTTGTATTCTTGCACATTTTGCACACAAAGCAACTCCACTGTAAATACAGATTATTTCCATTCTCCTTCAAATATCTGTACTACCAGCTCAGTATATAAAATATCAATAAAAATACCATAAACAACTGTCAGTAGTGGCATCTGTGTTTTTATATACATAATAACAATACCTTGCATCTTATACTGTTACCTAACTACCATTAATGATAAAAATGAAAGTGCTATACTTTAGCTAGACAATGCATATGATGTGAATAATTAATAGTTCTTAGCAACCAGTATGAGCACTTTACAAATGATAGATATCTAATATCCATTAATGATTTGCTTGTTATGTATATATATTCTCCTGATATAAAACCATGTCTGGCCATGGTGATGGAGGTAACTGAGTGGGGCAGTTTAAATGACCCAAGCAAGCTGACAAGG